TTGGAATTGATGTCTGATTGCGTTGACTGGCCAGTCAAGGACCAAATGCGATAGGCCTACCACCATTGTTTCCTTACTGTGGAGATCACAGAACGTTGGGGAGCTGTATGAAGTAATGATTGAGTTTTATCAGCCTAGGTGTTCACTGCACGACCTTGAAGGTCCCCCTCCATCACAGAGTTGGAATTGGGTGGCTAAAATACTATTCACCGTTTAATAGTCAAGTGACAGGGAAAAATCAAAGGAGAGAAATCGGATCAACTCTCAGAGCCGGTCTGACCGGTGTTGGATTAAACAATCAAGAGACATGGAGAAATCCTCATCTTCTCCCACACCAAATCTACCAATTCCAAATTCCCATTCCCCCTCTTCATTCCCAAATCCCGTATTGCAGAATTAAAAATCAAGCTATAGCATGGAATGGAAGAACAAATTTAGAAATACAAGTATAACAGAATAAAGAAAAGTAATTAAGAAGAACAAATTAAACCCAAAATGATTAGAAGAACTATATATTGCATATATATTTGTATTCTCATCAATACTCTTTCTTGAAAACGTTGACAGTAGAACAAGTAGAGAACTAGAGAGAGATGTAGTAAGAAGCAGAAGAAGATTCATGGATTTTAATTTGATCTCTCATTCATTTTCGCAGCACTGAACACTGTATCTCTAGTTATGTTTTGTCATACATAAGATCAACAAATATGTCGTTACAAATTCAAAAACTACCTGATGTAACCGTCCCTGGTCACATACCAATTTTTTTTGTGATGTACCAATTTTTTGGCTAAGTACCTCGTCATTTGACATGCTCCTAGGTGGCCTGTGACTCAGAGGATGATGGAGCTCCCTAGTGGCGAACTGCCTGGTGATGAGCTACTTGGTGGTAAGCTACTTGGTGACGAGCTCCCTGGTGACGAGTTCCCTGGTGGTGAGCTACCTGGTGACAAGCTCCCTAGTGGAGAGTTACCTTGATGAGCTGTTGGGTGCGCTGCCTTGGTGGTGAGCTTCCTAGTGTAGTGCAACCCGATTGCCCTCTGCATGAGATGATCTGCTCCTCTTTGTAGACGGCGGGAGCTGAGGAACCTGCAAGAACTGAATTAGAGGACCCGGGGGGTGTTTACCCGGTGGGGCCACTCCGATGGATAAGTTAGCACTCCTATAATAGAGAGCTCGAAGATGATATTAAGGAAATGAGAGAGCTAGAGAGCAGGGGTTACCTCCAATTTTCATCCCCCTTTCCCCTCTAGGGGTCAGGGCTCTTATATAGCGGTGTCCTGAGAGTTCTGGCGTAACCACCTCTGACTCTCTGCCACAGCCGTTACTTGCCAGGGCTGAGCCGGTGGGCGCAAGTAACCATTGCAGGGTACGGTCCTGTCAGACATGAGGCGTTGTCAGAGTTGGCAGGCACGACACCGCCTGGCTAGAGACGTGGATGCAGTCTCCAGATCTGGCAGGTATGGTTGTCAGGTAGGAAATCTTCTTGTGATACGCCGAGCTGCCTGTAAGTGCCGAGCTGTTCCTAAGTGGCGAGCTCTTCGTAAGACGCCAGGCTGCCTGTGGAGTGGCCAGCTGCCTGTAAGTGGCGAGCTGCCTGTAGGTGCTGAGCTGCCTGTAAGTGCCGAGCTGCCCCTAAGTGGCGAGCTCTTCATAAGACGCCAGGCTGCCTGTGGAGTGGCCAGCAGTTTCCTGTGGCGAGCTGCCTATGTTGAGCTGCCTGTAAGTGGTGAGTTGCCTATAGGTGGCGAGTTGCCCCTAAGTGGCGAGCTTCCTGTAGGTGGCGAGCTACCTATGTTGAGCTGCCCCTAAGTGGCGAGCTCTTCGTAAGACGCTAGGCTGCCTGTAAGTGTCGAGCTGCCCCTAAGTGGCGAGCTACCTAGTTGTCAAGAGGCTGCACTTAGTTGGCATGAGGTGCCAGGTGTCATATTTTCACTGGAGGGCCAAATCCGCCCTCATCACTACCCATTTGATCGGTAGCCTTAATAGTACAGTACAGGCACTTCTCGTCATAGTATAGAGTGAACCGACTCAAGGAACACTGACTCTGTGAAAGAGTCATGGAATGTTGGATATCGGTTTTCTGATTGGCCCTTATGGGGTTAGTAAATGAAACAACTTTGTCTTACTCCTTTTTTTCTCATTTTCCTGAATTTTTTACAAAAAATAGAATACAGATAAAATCTCCTTGAGAGTTTAGGCTCTCTTTCATTTTTGAGGAAGAAGATGATGATCAATGTTTTAATTTCAAGAATAATTTTGACATTTTCAAAAGTCTCAAGTAGTACATGATAACATATGATACACATATCACTGACGGTCTGTTAAGGGCAAGTATTGGATTGGAATTCGGCTTCAGTTAGGGCACACTCTATACGTGCACCGTTCATGTAAAAGGAAAATGCACCACATGTCTTTAGCTTCATGTGACCTGACTGAAGCGTGCCATCCAAAGGGCACAACGTCTCCTTCACTGTCTTCTCTTGAAAATGTCAAGACATTTTCAACACGGTTTCCTAATTCGAAAATGTGAAGACTCATGACATTTCGACACTTCCTGTTCAGCTCTCGCTCACAGGGTTGTACTCCTTTCTCCTCCTTAGCCTCAACCTCCAAGTATAATCCTTGAGGAAGGAAAACAAACCAGAAAGGAGAAGAAGCAAAGCTGCTCATAACATATAAACTAAGCGAGATGGACACAGTATTTGAATCTCCGTGGCTGGGAAATTACTTTATTGATCAGAAAAAGGCTAATCAATGGTCTCATGTGAGGCCGTGAACTCACAACCCAACTTCAAACTATCCTTTGCAATTGCCTCAGACATGACGATGAGTCCTTGTCCACCGAAGATCTCCTCCCCAAAATCTTACGATCCTTCATCGAGGCTATTTCTACACTCAAGTCCACTGACTCTGGAGAGGTCTATCAGAATCCATCGAGTAGACAGTGAGTTCGCCCAGTTGTGATGACCCATTGATGGAAGATTCTGGTGAGAGTAGGAAGTCTTCAGCACTCAAGGATTGTAGAGGAGGTTATAAGAGAAGGTAATTGGCTTATCACATGCTGGAAAATAATGAAACAAACTTTGTTTTAGGCAAGGAAGATCTAGGGGTAACTCCCGCTGCTGCCGCTGGTCCCGATCATATTTTGGCCTGGGTTCACTGCTTACAGCCACCACCTCCTGATGGAGGGACAAAAGCTTATCAAAGTGTTGTTGTCGGTCTACCACCGTTGTGCTTCGTCTTGAACAAGGGAGTGTTCCAAATCTCAACAATGACAAAACAAAGAACGAAAGAAGAGGAAAAGGGAGGGGAAGACAAGAGAGAGAGAGAGAGAGATGAGAGGCTAGAGGTGGAGGTCTAAAATAGGAGAGAATCCACCATTGGTTCATCGCCACTGTCAAGGGAGAGAAGAGGAGAGTACTCGAAAAAATGGGTTTTGCTTAACTAAAGGTGTGAAACATCCCTTGCATACTTCAACCATTTACATGAACTAGAGGACGCGAGGCACATCCTCCAATTGCACGAACGGTTTTACTTATAAAACCGATTTCAGTTGGTGCAAAGTCCGTTCAAGCACCCATTATAGCCCTTGCATTGGGAATATCTCCCATTAAATAAAGGACAGAAGTGCGGAGATGTTCCCAATGCAAGGCCGTTTGAACGGTGTTCGAAAGGGCCTTCCACTGATTGAGATATTAGATAAGGGCAACTTTTGGGCCCTAATATCAATAAAAGTAATATATTTAATAAAATTTCAAAAATAAATTAACTTTTTAAAAATAATATAAAAGGGGGCAAAGTTACTATTCATCATCTTCTTCTTATAGACTATTCATCATAGACACCCGTCGCCGCCTTCGGCACGTCTTCGACTGTTGTCTTCGACAGTCACCTCTGACGATTGAGAAAGCGTCGCTGATAGTTGGACACCAGCAAGTGGTGGGGTTTGGAATCCATGAGTGTCGCAAAAAAAGCGGTCCTTGTCTTGGCCATCGTCGTCGTCGGTCGTCGACAGATAAGTGTTAGTCATTATGGGGGATCTGAGCTGAAGGTGTCGACAGATAAGCTGCCCTTATCTGATATAACCCCTTTTTTTTCCCGACTAAGAAATAGAACAGGAAAAGCTGCCTTTTGGGAGTTGCCAGTTCTTTGCTTGACCTGTTGTGCTTTGGCGGTTTCTTTGGTGCTCTAAATACTTGTTCATTTTCCTGCAAATCCAGAGAAAATTTGGAAAATATTTATTAACACTTCACTTATTTACCTATTTTAACCCGTTATGTGTAACTTGAACCCGTTATGAGTAAAATTTTCTTTCTCTGGCATCCCCTTTGCCACAGTATAAGCTAGAAACAGAATGGTCGTCTGGGGATAGCGACATCATCGTCAAGGAGAACCGGTTCGACAACGACATAGTCATTCCCAGATGGTTTTCCCAAACCACATAAGCCTTGCTTTCTAGATTTGGGGAAACCAGTGGATTTGGACATGGTCACCATCTATGGTTCAGGGAGAGTCATGAGTAAAATTTTCTTTCTCTCATTCACTCCCATTTGAGTAGTGAGATTTTTTTTTTTTTTTTAAATAGAGGCAAAGGGGTATGAAGTTTGTGAAAGATTTGAGGAGATGTTTCTGCAACTACATGCGACAATCTGAGACCTACTTGTCGGAAACGACAGTTAGAGGCGGCTGTCAGAGACGACAACAGTCGGAGACGTGCCGGAGGCGTGTCAAAGGCGGGGGCGAGTGGCTCTGAGAAGAAGATGAATAGTAACTTTGCCCCTTTTTGATATTATTTTTAAAAAGTTAATTTATTTTTAAAATTTTATTAAATATATTACTAGGACCCAAAAGTTACTCTTATGTGATGTAACTCCCATGAATTATCGCGTTTTAAAGTTTGAGGATGAAAGTGACACTATCCCAAATACAGAATACTAGTCAGCAAATTTTCGGAAAAGGCAGGGGTAGATATAAAAATACATCAAACCCTAGGGATGGCCTGTCAATAGAGAGCAGTCTGCACTCCACCTCAGCGTTGGAGTTGGAGGAAACACGATTTCAGAAGACAACATCAAAATAAGAAACAGGGCGAAGATCTGGGCGATTCGTTTTTGATTTCCAGTACGAGTTAGAGCTCGAGCTACTCCAATGGCGGAAGATCTAGTCCTAGACACGGCAATTAGAGACTGGGTTCTGATCCCTCTCTCTGTCGTCATGGTTCTTATTGGAATTCTTCGGTACTTCGTCTCCAAGTTAATGCGATCTTATCAATTGCCCGACGCCAAGGTCGTCAAAGAAGGGTAGAATAATAATTCAAACCGCTGCTTTCGTTCTCTTTATTCCTAAAGTTTTGATTTTGATCTTAGCTTGTTTTGAATAATTTCAGACAGGTTGTTATTAGGGCCAGGAATTTACGGGCGGCTGCAAATTTTATTCCCCTGAAGTCGTTTCGTGCTAGAAGGACGTATTTCAGTAATGAGGTTCCTTTCCTTCGGCTCATATTCGTGTTTATTACTTTATACAACTCAGTTTTGTTTTTTCGCGGAAATTTATGTTTTTTATTCATGCGTCGCTTCCTCATTCTAGATAAATATCTTTTTTTTTTTTTTTTGAGTAGGAAGATAAATATCTATTAACCAAGTGATTTTGACGAGTTATCTATTCTGTTTATTATACTAATAAGTAAGTTCGTTTCTTGCTTATAGAATTTCTTTTTCCTGCTTAAGCTTATTTAGTTTGTGTATGTTTTCATTCTAAGCATGGAAAGGACCTCTTTCTTTCTTTTATTTTTTCCTTTCGCCAGGGCCTTCTTGTTACATTCTTGGTTGCCATTCTTTGTGTCTTTTCAAATTTCTTTTTCATTTAGAGATATACCTGTGAAGCCACCACTTCACGTGAATAATTTATGCGTTTGGATCTTATACTAAACTCAACCAAGCTAATTCATAGCTGAACCATATGTCCCTCACTACACAAACCCTGTTCGATTGGTACAACTGTACATAGACTGGCATACCCTGTTCTGTGGTTGCATTCAACACCGAACTATATCCTCTTCTAAATCAAATGTCATCTGAAAACTGTTCATTGTTTGGTATGACAATTTTACTATCTGAGATCTGTTCATTGTAGCTTCAGTATGTTATGGTGGGCAATTGGGCATTGTCCCATGCTTTAGTGATGTAATCTTTTTCGAGGGAAGCTCTCTTCTTCTCTCATTAATGGAAATCTGTTACTTCTTTTCTCTGAATTCCACTGGGTTTCAGAATTCTTGAGTGTTCCACAAGGGAACTCATTTACTGACACAGGTTTATATGCTTCAAGTTCTGGTGATCCTTATGCTGCATCCATCATAGAATTTGAAATTATTTGCTGTAGCATTGCAGGAGAATGGGTTGCTGCATGTCCCTAAGGGCCAGGCTCAAAATGCACAAGCACAAATGTTCTCTGATCCCAACATGGCCATGGATATGATGAAGAAAAACCTCTCTATGATAATACCCCAGGTATTGTGATTTGTTTGATCCTTCTCTATACCCTGCTTGTTTGCACAATTGCTCAGATTGGACAATTTACTACTTTTTCCAATTTGTTATTTGTTGTTCAGACTCTTACTTTTGCGTGGGTCAATTTTTTCTTCTCTGGTTTTGTCGCAGGTGTGTCACTTCTTTTCACATTTGAAATATCAATGTTTCTGAATGCAATAGTAGTTATCTTAAATTAGATATCTGTGCAGCTGTTCTATTGATACTCAGTTTTGTTTTCATTGCTTCTGTAACTTTTGTTCTTTATCTCGTACCCTTGACCATTTTCAAGACCTACATGGTCAATTTACTATTTTTAACTTACATGTGATATTGTGGATGTGATTATAAGTATCTGATCTTATTTTATCTTTTCCTTTTTCAGCAAAGATACCCTTTCCACTGACTCAAAGGTTTAGATCAATGTTACAAAATGGAATTGACTTGAGCACAGTTGATGTTAGCTATGTGAGCAGCCGTTCATGGTACTATTATATTTCCTTAACAAGGAGATCCTTATTTTTAGTTCCTCCTACAATAGATTCCTTGGCGTTTGTCCTATACAAATTGTTACCTTTCAGTTTGACTTCAGGATGTGGAAGTCCTATATGATTAATAATTTCTGATGGGTTTGCCATTCTATTTCCTTCAGGTATTTTCTCAATCTATTTGGACTAAGGGGTCTATTTAGCCTCATTCTAGGAGAAGAAAATGGTCAGTGCTTGTTGTGTAATATGGCTAATGGGCATTTTTTCCCTCTTACTTCTAAAGAGATAAATCATAGATTTTGTATGATGTTTTTTTTTTTTTCCAACTCTATGATGATTATATTTAAATGTTACAGAAACTGATATGTATTTGCTAATGCAGCTACAGATGACACACAGCGAATGATGCAAATGAGTGGGTTTGGATTTGATCCTACAAGGGTATGTAATGTCTATCTTTCTGTCTTTCTGCTGGTTAACCTAATCATCAGACCTGTTCATGGGCCGGGCTTAGGCTTGGCTTTTGGCAAAATTTGAATGGGCCTGGCCTGAAGCCTGAGCCCGAAACAGTATAAAGCTGTTCCCGAAGCCTGGCCCATGAACAGGTCTACTAATCATTATCATCCATGCCTTATCCCAACTATATGGGGTTGGCTACATGAATCCTGTTTCACCAAGCTGTTCTATTTAAAGCCACTTTGATTAAATGAGATGTCTAAAATTGTTAGTGCCAAATATCTATAGCAAAATGCTACCCATATTGTAAGTAGCTTGAATGATAGCACAACACTGGTTTCTCCTTAAGAAGTGAAATACTCTAATTGAAGTGATCAGTGCGATCTTCTTGGTTTGGCATACTGTTAGGGACCACAAATTGTTGTCAGCCTTTTGTCCATTTGCTTAGCTTAAGATTTTTTTTAGCCTATTATATAAGAGTCCTTAGGTGTTAACTTTTCGGGCTGTAGAGAATTCAATTCACCAATGCATCCTAACATAAAGTCTAGCATAACATGTCAAACATCATGTGATTGATAAGTTGCTCCTATGTACTTTTACCATTTAATAAATATATGAACATGTGTCAGACATTATGAGAAGAATAATTGATCTTTATTTTCACTATTTGATTCTCTCTATAAATCTTGACAACTCATAATACCTTCTCTATCACTTGAAGAACTCTCCATTAAAACATTAGGTGCAAATGGTTCTGTATGGATTTAGACAAGATTGCCATTAAAGTCTAGGGATTTTTGGACTGCACTCCCCCTCAGAAATCTTTTTTGCAGCCCCCTCCTAGTTTACTAGTAGCCCCCCCCCCCTATAAACTACATCCTGCCCGTGTATTTGGCATCAATCCACGGGCAGGATTCAGTCCACTCCTAGGTGGAGCTAGGATTTCCTAGGGGTGGACTGAATCATAAAAACCCCTAAAGTCTAATCTTTGTTGGCCTCTAATTTTGCAAGTTAAATGAACTTTGATTTCCCCTACAGCTTTTGACAAAACCATATAACCACCTCTATCAAGGACATTAATAGAAAATAACCATTTCATTATGGGACAGGAAATGTAAATGAGAATATGTATTGTACAATGGATTTGAGCTGTTTCTATACAGGAAGGTCCTTCCCACACTCCTAGTTACACTATCAGCTTCAGAATTGATATATCTAGGAATCTGATGCACAGATAAAGGGAAGTAATTCAAATGTCTCTGGTTTCATCGAGGTAGTTCACCAATCTCCATGGGCTAGAAGCCAGCCCTATTAGTCCATCTTATGGCATTAATTAAGACACTGTTTACTAGAGCTGCAAATTGGGCTGCCTGATTTAAAGAATTTCAATTACATCGGGCTTTTGGGTTAGTTTTTGGGCCAATTGAAAATTTAACAAATTCCCAACCCAACTTGCACCCCTACCATTCACCATTTATGTGGTGAATCCATGGGCGGGTAAGCAAAACAACTCTCTTAGAATTGATTGCATCAGTATCCCCAATTGGACCCCAACCACAGAAGCACCTGGGTTTCCAAGAAAACTGCTGTCAAAGTAAAGACTGGCCTGTTACTCTTGAAGGAAGAAAAGTTCTTAGCTGGGGCATTTGGATTTATTGATCTCCACTAAATTTCTTTGAAGAGATTGAGATAGATACCCTAAATTCTTCTGTTGCACAAACCCTAAGTTGACCAATAAGAGAATCTGGCCCTAATTGCTTAGGAAGCAATTTTTCCTTCACACCCAATTGTTTCTCTCCTCCCATAAACCAAACATGATGGCATGTGTGATTGCCTTCATGTCTATAGCACTGTTAGGGGCTAATAAGTACGGCCTTATGAAACCTAATGGAAGTGTCAACGTCTCCTATGTAAATCTCTACATTTTTGTTTAACACTGATGATCTTGTAACTTTATTATTATTTTTTTATTTTGCATTTTACAGAGCTTGAGTGCAGAGAAAGACAGTCTTGACATAGTTCAACATGAGTGGGCCCTGCCAAAATTTGAGCAGCGTGCTGAAGCAGTCTTGAGAAGACTTGTAAGATGAGTTTTGTACTAGAGCCACAAATTTTCCTCCGCAGATACTGGTGGTTCACTGGTTTAATCTACTTTCTTTGTGCATTTTTTGTGGTTAAATTCCACGGTAATTGATGAATCTTTTTACATTTTTGGAACTATTTTTGTAATGTTATCTGATCAATCCCACTCAAACCTTATGTTGTGAAAAACCCCAAAAAAGCAAATTCGAATTGCACCAAAAATGAAAGTAAAACAGAGTTAAAGAGAAGCAAGCACAGAGAACACAGATTTACATGGTTCGGCTTATAGCCTACGTCCACAGGCGAAGGAGCAGAAATTCACTATATAGTAACTAATGGAGAAGAAATACAGAGTTGTGCACTCACAATCTCACTCAGAAAACCCTAAACCTCAAAAATACACCCAATGTCTCTCTTTTCTCAAAAGACAGACCAAGTGTACAAGAGAAAACCCCCCCGAAATACACAACTCTTCGTATTTGGTTTGGACCTATAAGCTGAATATTGATCGGGTCCAAACTATTGTGGGGGTGTGAAATTTTGTCTTTGGGTTTTTCTCAAATTATTGCAGAGCGAATTCATGAAGTGAGTCGCACAAACATAACACCTTAGTTGGATTAATAGTGATTACTAATGCAATGTCGATCTATTATATTTGAGCTTGTATTTGATTATCAGAAAGAGCATGTAGAAACAGGTAATCTGTAATCTCTTCACTAAAGCACGAGAAGTACCCAGCAAACTTCACCAAGCGGGTGATGTAACGAGGTATTCAGCCAACATAACACTGATTTATTTGGAGGCAAGGAGAGTATGCTCTTAAGCCAATTGACAAACTTGCTTTCCAACCAGGCCATCAAGGAGAACACTATCGATGATTTACGCTGATCCAGCACAATAATGCACAAGTCAATCAAACGTCCCAATGTGAGAGAATATATATGGCATGAAGCCATGAAGTTCTCATGAAGAGTGCAAACCTCAAAGTGAAATATTGGCATGGTACCACTCTCAGTCATACCATTCCAAGGCACAACTAAGACTTGCACCATGATGACTACTACCTTTAAACTACCAGTCCCTGGGGCACAAACCGTTTTATCATGCAGACTTTTCCTCATTTATGACTTGTCCCCTAATCATAGATTACAAAGTTTCAATCGATGGACCATTTCTAATCCCCCTTTTTCCAGGTATGTGCACAAAACATGCCTCCTACTCCAAGTCCAGGCCTCCAGCCCTCTCGAGTAAAATTCATTGTTTACTTCTTCCTTTATGATGAACATTTAAGACCCAGATTTTCAGATTGAAGCTGGGATTTTTGTTTCATTTACTTCTTCGGGATCCCATCCTAGGGAACGGAATTTATATTCGTCCAGATTTGGGCTTTTACTGCAGAGAGCATACATTGGATTAACATGGAGCGATCTCAACTTCTCAAGTCTAGAAAGTTGACTGATGAGAGGGCCTGCCTTCTGTAATGCACATATGATGCTCAACAGAGCCCACCAAAAACTGTTCTCATGTAGCCCTCACCAAACGTCCTCCAATATAATGATAATGTAAGGTGTAAACCGGCATTTCAATCGGTTCTTTGCACAAAGAAAGTTGGTTGTTGCAGAGTTGTGCCATGTACGCTCTGGATGTTGGTTGTTGGCAATGCTTTCTTGGTTTGACTCAATGATATCCTTGAAGCCATGGCAAAGTTGAAGTCTCTGCTACGTCCTCCTTTTTGTTGTCGTTATTGCCTCAACTCCTCAACCATAGCCTAGTTAATGCTAACGTCCTTTAATAACTTTCCGGAACATAATTTTGCCTAGACGATTTCAATTAGAACAACGCGTTTCGGTGAATTGTTGTTTCTATACTTGTAACATTTTGGGTTGATTAATATACAACTGTTAATTTGATTCTGCTTATATTTGAATGAATATACCTTAAAAACACATGTTTGGGTCTGATCATCGACGTTTATAACTGAAACTCCAAATTCACCTTTCTTGATCTAGGGGTGAAGTCTAAATCATTTTGGCTGAAGTAACTCTTAACTGTGACATGATAAGACACATTACTCACCAATTTGTATTGATCAATCCAAAATGGTTTTTTGTAAATAAAAAAACAAAACAATGTTACAAAACACAACCCAAATGTTTGGACTCCGGATCTCCTGTTCATGAGAATTCTGTCCACGTCTACCTACAACACACTACCCCCATGAATTGGGAACATCTCCCCCTGCATAATACTATGTAGGAGGATGAGATAATCTCCATGTGTGGCTGCAATGTTGTGTGGGTAGACATGGGCAGAATTTGTGTGGGCAGGAGATCCGGCCCACTCCAAATTCCATTGTCATATCAAAGTTGATCCTGAAATATGTATTGGATCACGCTCCCATTTCACCACCTCCATTTTCTTCTGGTGAGGTTTCCAAACGGATTCAAATTCCAGTCTACAAAGCCTCCATATACTCACAGAATACTCTGTTAGCTTTTTTTTTTTCTACTACAAGATATGGATTTGCCTCTGGTTTCAAAATGGCCCTTTTCTACTTTTCCAATGAGCCACAATATAAAAGCGTCCTTTCTTAATTTACTGGCACTGGAATGAGGAACAGGAATTCACATTATTCTCTAAGATTGGATAAAGAGGGTGAGCCTTGGTTCAATGGTTGACTTGTTTCATTACAACTTGGGTGATCAGGGTTCAAATCTTGGAAATAACCTTTCTACATGTACAGTGGTAAATCTGCTTACATCTGTCCCTTTCCAGACCCCACATTGGCAGAAGCCTTGTGCATTGGGCTGCCCTCTAGAATTGGATAGAGATTGCTAACAAAAGCCCAGATGGCATAACCAAATTGCTTCATCTATGCAAAACCATTCAATTCATGTCATGTCCATAGGACTATTTATTAAAAAATACATATAATTTTTTATGTTAAAAAAATAAAATAAAATATTAAAATTAGAGGTTGAAGATAATATTGGTAACCGTACTTTGCAAATGAATCACATCATATTCAAATAGGGATATATCCAAATCCGTTAAAGAATTCTAGAGATCCAAATTCAATATTTTACATATTTGTAAAACATAGATTCAATTATTCAAATTCAATTCGTTTGAATATTCGTATATCTAATTCAATTAGTATATCAATTGGTCTCTACATAAAAGTAGCATAAATTCATAAAATTAAATAAAAAATTATCTACATTCTAAACCCAACGCAATTTTACAAAATTAAGTAATAACTGTTGGATTTTAATCTCATTAGAGATTAAATCCAATGGGTTTGATTGGCAATTACATGAGAAATTACAACTGTACACTTGTTTTAGAAAACAACTTTTCTCTTACTAAAACCAGTTTTAAACTTGTCCTACATTGGAAAATTACCAGTTTTGTTTTGAGTTTTTTAATAGGAATTGATTTACACTCCTTACAAATAGTGGAGGAGAGTACGGAGGCTTGCCACCGCACAACGCGCGTGTGCATGTGTGCGGCGCAATGAGGCGCACTTTGCTCACACCCGCGTGGTTCACGAAGGGTGGCTTTGACCTTTTGGTGTAATGCTGATGTTAACTACTGATGAGGGTGGATTTGGCCCTCCAGTGAAATTGTGACACCTGGCACCTCATGCAAACCAAGTGCAGCCTCTTGACAACTGGGTAGCTCGGGAAGCTCAGCAGAGCTTGCCACCTATAGACAGCTTGGCATGGCTCGCCACAGGCAGCTCGGTAGAGCTCGCCATAAGCAGCTCGGCATAGTTCGAGGAGCTCGGTATAGCTAGGGGCAGCTCGGCATAGGCAGCTGGCCACTCCGCAGGCAGTCTGGCGTCTTACGAAGAGCTCACCACTTAGGGGCAGCTCAGCGCTTACAAGTAGTTCGGCATAGGTAGCTGGCCACTCCGCAGGCAGCCTGGCGTCTTACGAAGAGCTCGCCACTTAGGGGCAGCTCGGCGCTTACAAGTAGCTCGTTATAGGCAGCTGGCCACTCCGCAGGCAACCTAGCGTCTTACGAAGAGCTCGCCACTTAGGGGCAGCTCGGCACTTACAGGTAGCTTGGCATAGGTAGCTCGGCAATTAGGGGCAGCTCGGTGTATCGCAGGAAGATCTCCTGCCTGACAACCGTACCTGACAGATCCGGAGACCTGCGCCCACGTCTCTCGCTAGGCGACGCCGTGCCTGCCTGTCCTGAGAGCTGTCCCTTGACTGGCAGAGCCGTACTTTGCAGCAGCCGCCTACACCCGCCACCTCAGCTCTGGCAGTAACGGCTACAGCAAAGAGACAGAGGCGGTTACACCTAACTTGACAGAGGCTGTTGCGCCTGATTTGATAGGACACCACTATATAATGACTCCGACCCCCAAAGACAAAGGGGAGAGATTGAAAAAATGGAGGTAATCCCTGCTCTCTAGCTCTCCCATTTCTCTCCAAACTCCCTACAATCAGAATGCTAACTTAGGCATCGGAGAGTCCCCGCCGGGAAAATACCCCCGGGTCCACTGATTCAGTTCTCGCAGGTTCCTCAGCTCCCGCCGCCTACAAAGAGGAGGAAAAGATGGAGTTCTCGCAGGTCCCTCAGCTCCCGCCGCCTACAAAGAGGAGGAAAAGATGGAGTTCTCGCAGGTCCCTCAGCTCCCGCCGCCTACAAAGGAGAGGAGATCACCTCATGAAGAGGGCAGCTGGGTTGCGCTACACCAGGGAGCTCCACCATCCCTTGAGTTACAGGCCGCCTAGGAGCAGGTCAAATGACGAGTCCACCCAGGTAGCTCACCACCAGGGAGCTCATTACCAAGTAGCTCACCACCAGGGAGCTCGTCACCAAGTAGCTCACCACTAGGGAGCTCGTCACTAGGGAGCTCACCACCAGGGAGCTCGTCACCAGGTAGCTCACCGCCAGGGAACTCGTCAGCAGGTAGCTCACCGCCAAGGAGCTCGTCACCAAGTAGCTCACCACCAAGGGGCTCGTCAGCAGGTAGCTCACCGCCAGGGAGCTCGTCACCAAGTAGCTCACCACCAAGGGACTCGTCACCAGGTAGCTCACCGCCAGGGAGCTCGTCACCAGGTAGCTCACCACCAGGGAGCTCGTCACCAGGGAGCTCACCGCCAAGGAGCTCATCACCAGGG